CAGACCAAGGGACCTCCTTGTAATTTCAGCAGTTATCATAGTTGGCATAGCAAGGATCGTTGAGTGCTAGACAAGGAATCTCGCATCACCCAAGAATTCCGACGATGAGTAGTGCATTCTTGGGACTCGGATGACGATGACGAGCACTTCCCATTTTTGATGGTCGTATAAAAATAAAATGATATGGAATGACTTTAAAATGCCAAGGATGGACAAATTATTGGATAATCCCATTGATCACCTAAAAAAAAATTATGACAGCTACTTTAGCGCGAGTCTAACCTCCGATGCAAAGCAAAGCATTCGTAGCTGGCCATAGTTAAAGAAGGAATTCACCAATGCCTTCATGGGTAGTAGGGTTAGCATCACACATACAATACGCCTCAATGATATTAGGCAAGGGCAAGGAAAACAATGAAAGACTACTCCAAAGGTTCAGCAAGAAAATTGATAAGATTGAAAATATTTCAAATGAAAGGTGTTGGAGAAAACAATGAAAGACTACTCCAAAGGTTCAGCAAGAAAATTGATAAGATTGAAAATATTTCAAATGAAAGGTGTTGGATGCTTTGTGAACAGATTGTATATAAGAACAACATTTTGGAGAGATATCTACAATAAAGATCCAAAGATTTATGATCAATTAGTGGATGTGATCCATGTTGTGTGTGGTCATACTTGGCCAATTCACCTGGGCCATTATGGCCCACTCAGGGCTATCCACGTGGCATTCCAGCCAAGGTGGCATAGATGGCCGAGGTGGGATGCTCCGAGGCCTTCAAGCCGAAGTCCACAAGTCGAGGCTCTTTTTTACCGAGGCCTGTAAACGTACCTGAGGTCCACATGCCGAAGCCTATGAACCGAAGCCATGATGCTGAAGCCAGTTGAAGATAGCTGAAGCCCTCAAGCGGAAGTATCGTGTGAAATGACCGAAGCAGACGCAGGAGCCTCCGAACCCCGAAGGAGTGTCCTCCATGTTCACTTCTCCCAAGAGATCGTCTGTATAAAGATCTTATTCGAATGATTGATGGAACGTTTGTCAACAGCATAAAGGTCAAGTCTTGTCACTAGTATGGAGGCCCTACACAAAGCAATAAATGCGCAGCAAGTTAGCAAGTCAAGCCCCATGCCTAGGATGGAATGTTTGAATTAAAGAGATGAGGCCACGTGCCACCTCATCCAAGGGCTCCCATTTCACATGTATCACTATAAATACTTCCATTGTGTAACATCAAAAGGCTAATACAAGAATCAATACAAAGAACTATACTTTACTCAACTCCCTCATTTACTTACAATACACAAATCGAGTTTATACACATTTACATATACATTTACGAACACTGGTTGGTAATTATCGTACAATCGGATCACGAACAACTCGCTGAATTCCGAACGTCACTATCCCGCATCGTTGGGCTACTCCCACGCCCTTAGAACCGCTCATTTTAGACCGTCTACGTGTCTTAGTGTGTTGGACATTCGCCCACGTGTGCGCGGTGGGACCGGCTTCTGTTGGCAATAATTTTAGGGTCAACAGATTGGCGCCGTCTGTGGGAAATTATACCATAACCACGAGCAACCTTGTGATAAAAGCTTGCTGAAAGGACATTTGGGCAACCCCCCTTGAAAAATGATTTGTTCTTGGAAGAGAACAGGAGGAAGCCCCGTTACTTGGAGAAATCTGAAATCGGACAAAGGAAAATGAGCTCCAATGAAGATACTCTTCCCAGGAGAGTAAGAGAAAACACGAACGCTCATCCCCAGCCTGCTGCCCCAACAGCTCGGCAGAGACTCCACCACCACCAAAGAAGAGGTGGGATGCGTGCGATGGCACGATTATCAAGAGAAATGACCGCCATGGCGGCTAATATGAGGGATATCGCTAGCCAAAATTTGGCTATGAGGGAGCTTATGGCCTAAATGCAGGGCCAGGGAGGCTTCCCCATTCCTACATATGCCCCCCAAGGGCACTACCAGCAAGAGGATAAAGTCAAAAGTCATAGAACTACTACACCAGACTATGGCCGAGGTGAGAGCCCCTTTGAAAGGGAAGTGGAAGTTGATGTTTCCTCCATCTATGCTTCTGGCCGACCCTCCGAGGTCCAAATGAGCCATGATAATTTCCCACCTCCATTTGAGCAAGACCCAAGACATAGGAGGGCAGGAAGTGTTTTTGACAGAATCAGCCCTGTCGAACCGAGGCAAAGGCAACGGCAAGCTTAGCAACCTTGGACAAGGCCGCCTCCTCCACCTACATTCTCCCAGCAGGCGGAAAGAAGGCAAGAAAATGCCCCCCGAGTTGCTCCACCTAGAAATAGGCGGCAGAGGAGAGACGAAGAGGCTAGGGATCTCCCCGGGACCTCTCACCAACAACCGAGGCACGAGACTGATGAGTACGACTCTGAAGAACAGCAGAGGTCCTGCGACTTGGACGACGACGATGAGAACCTACCATTCTCAAGGGAACTAAGGAATGCCCGGGTCCCGAGCCATTATGCTATGCTAAAAATACCGAAGTATGACGGAAGAGGCGACCAGGAAAAGCATCTGAATACTTATAAAACCCACATGAGCCTAAAGGGCGCTACCCCGGCCGTGAAGTGCAGAGCCTTCCATTTAACACTTAGTGGAGTTGCTGAAATTTGGTACAGTAGATTACCACCTGGGAGCATTAGAAGCTGGCCCAAGTTCAAGACAACGTTCTTGAAGAGGTTCGCGGTAAACAAAGAAGGAGAAGCCCCCATCCAACGTCTCTAGGACATGAGGCAAGCACATGGGAAGTCCCTAAAGAGCTTCTTATCACGCTTCACCGACGAGATGACATACTGCGTACAAGTCAGCAACCGAGAGGCACTATCCGCACTAAGGGGAAGTCTGAACATGAATACCTTATTCTGGAGAGATGTGCAGAATCAAGACCCCACCACCTATGATGCCCTACTCGAAATGATGAGAAGGGAGATCATCAATGAAGAATTGATTGAGCATAGGAACAGGGCAAATAGAGGCCTCCCGCTCCTCAAAGACAGCGAGGTCGAGGCCCGACCTCCCACCTGATGGGCTACCAGATGAACCAGGCAGGAAATGAGAACTTTGGTCAAGCACTTGCCACCACCACTTTGAATGCGGTTCCTACCTTGGCATATGAAGATGTCAATCCAATAACTGACCCCCATCAGATGGGGGGTCAGGAGATGCCCCGTCGGGGGAGAGGCCGAGGTCGAGGCTCTGGACCTAGAAATAGGTCAACCCCGATCTCCCCAGGATACTTTGTACACCATAGGTCCTACGGACATAACACAGTGGATTGTAGAGACTATGCACAACGTTCCCGGCACGAATCCATTAGAGACAGACATGATTCGCCCCAGGTGAACAAGCCTTCGCCCAGGCACGACAACCAGCGTGGGCGTGAGAAGGCCGCTCCCTGTCAAAGGGATGTATCCCCATGGCGAAGGGAGCATGATGCAGAGAGGCCCAGGGAAGGGTGTAGACACCAAAGAAATCGGCAAGCTAGAGATGAAGCCCCTATCCACGAGGTGGACATCATATTTGGAGGCCCGTATGTTGGCGGCGAAACGCCAAAAGGAACTACGCCCAGGAGGCTAAACGCCCCCCTTTGACAAGCTACATCGTGGGTAGCAACTCCCGAAGAAACTAGGTCCCACCCATTGTATTTTCCCAGGAAGACGAAGAGGGAGTTCATTACCCCCACTGCGATGCACTTGTGGTGAGGGCTGTCATAGCCAGGAACGGGCTCAAACGAATGTTGGTTGACAACGGCAGCTCCGTCAACATTCTATTCGGATCCGCCTTTGATAAAATGATATTGGATCATCAACCGACGCCCACCACCACTCCATTGTAAGGATTTACTGGAGAGCATCACTCCGAGAGGAAAGATAACACTAGCAGTAGAGATGGGGGAATCACTACGAACAACGACGAACTTCATGGAGTTCCTCATTGTTAACAGCAGGTCGGCCTACCATGGGGTGTTGGGCAGACCAGCCCTGAAGGAACTGGGAGCAGTCACCTCCATCCACCACCTGTGCATAAAATTTCCAACTGAAAGTGGGGTGGCAATGGTGAGAGGTGACCAAAGAGGCTCGAGAGAATGCTATCTAAGCTCCATCAAGAAGGCAGAGCCCCGGGACATCCATGTAGTCGTAGCTGACGTGGTCATGGCTGACGTCCTAGGTGATGCTCCCACCGAACAAGAAGATGTTGATATGATCGATGCACCACCTAATGCAGAGGCGCTGGTCATCGTTGAAATTGACCCCCGCATCATGGAACACGAGCCTCAGGCATCTCCAGTAGAGGAACTTGAGAGCTTCTCAGTAGACCCCCGAGACCCATCAAAGGTGCTGAAGGTAGGCAAATGCCTAGCCAACATTCTGAAGGAAAAGATTAAGGATTTCCTGAGCAAGAATTTTGATGTCTTTGCCTGGAAGCATGAGAACATGGTAGGCATAGACCCCAAGTTCAGCTGCCACCACCTAAAAATTAATCCCAAGGTCGCCCTGCATAGACAAAAAAGGAGAGCTCTCAACCCTGAAAGGTATGAGGCCCTAAAGGAAGAAGTTCAGAAGCTCATCCAAAACGGCTTCATCCGAGAGGCAACCTACCCTAGATGGGTCTCCAACCCGATTTTGATAAGGAAAAACAATGGCAAGTGGAGGGTGTGCATTGACTTCACCAACCTCAATAGAGCTTGTCCGAAAGATAGTTTTCCACTCCCAAGGATTGACCAACTAGTGGATTCCACTGTTGGCCACGAGTTGTTGAGCTTTATGGACGCGTACTCCTGCTACAACCAAATCCCCATGCACCCGATCAATGAAGAGCACATCTCTTTCATTACGGACCGAGGCCTCTATTGTTATAGAATGATGCCCTTCGGGTTGAAAAACGCCGGACCAACCTACCAAAGACTCGTAAACAAGATGTTTGTGGACCTCATTGGCAAAACAATGGAGGTCTACGTGGACGACATGCTAGTAAAAAGTTTGGAGGCCGAAGACCACATAAAGCACCTTAACAGCACTTTCCAGATCCTAAGAAGATATAGGATGAGGCTCAACCCCCACAAGTGCACCTTCGGGGTAGCCTCCGACAAGTTCTTGGGGTACATGGTCAACCAACGAGGAATTGAGGTCAATCTCGAGAAGATTGAAGCGTTTTGCAAGATGAGGTCCCCCAAAAGCCGAAGGAGGTGCAAACTCTCACCGAGTAAGTAGCCGCACTTAGCCGCTTTGTGTCCAAAGCTACGGACAAATGCCTCCCCTTTTTCAAAATACTGAAGGCTGGGAAGAAATTTCAGTAGACCGAGGAATGTGAAGAGGCTTTCCAATGCTTGAAAAAGCACTTAGGGCAAGCCCCCCTCCTTTCCAAACCTAAGCCCGGTGATATCCTACAACTATATTTGGCCGTCTCTAATGAGGCCATCAGCTCGGTTCTGATACGGGAAGAAGGGTCTACCCAACTCTCCGTGTACTACACAAGTAAAGCGCTCCTATCACCGGAAACCCATTACCCCGATATGGAGAAGCTCGCTTTGGCTTTGATCACGGCCTCTAGGAAATTGAGACCCTACTTCCAAGCTCACACCGTCCATGTACTGACAAATTTTCCCCTAAGGCAGGTACTCCAAAAGCCTGATGCCTCAGGAAGGTTATTGAAATAGGCGGTAGAACTCAGTGAATTTGACCTTGTATTCAAGGCTAGGGCAGCCATAAAAGGGCAAGCCTTGGCTGACTTTGTGGCTGAATTTGCCAACCTACCCGAGGTGGACGAAATCATGGAACCTATCGAACCCCCCACGTGGAATCTTTTCGTTGATAGGTCAGCTGGGGAAGTTGGCTCCGAGGCTAGGGTTGTTCTCATCAGCCCCGAAGGTCACAAGCTCACCTCGACGGTGAGGTTCGGATTCAAAGCTACCAATAATGTAGCAGAGTATGAGGCACTTCTTACAGGCCTCAGGCTGGCCACCGAAATGCAAGTAAAGAGGCTGCTCATCAGTAGTGACTCCCAACTAGTTGTTAGCCAAGTTAACGGTAACTTCTCAGCCAAAGACAAAATGATGGCCTCCTACCTGAAAATGGTGATGAATCTTATCCCATCCTTCGAAAAGTTTGAGTTGATCCAGATCCCTCGCATCGAAAATGTACATGCTGATGCACTATCAAAGCTAGCTAGCAGCAAGGACTCAGAGCTACTCACGGTAGTACCTATTGAGCACCTCCTCCTACCTTCGATCGAGGCCCCCAACAGTAATGTGGGTCGCTGGGACTCCCGCTTGGATGCAACCAATCGTAGTATACCTCAAAGACCAGGTACTACCAACTGACAAGAATGAGGCTTACAAGCTAAGAAAGAGATCAGCCCACTTCCTTTTCATTGATGACATTCTCTACAAAAGAAGCTTCTCCTCCCCGCTCCTACGGTGTGTCAGAGGAGAAGGGGCTACCTACATATTGAGGGAAGTCCACGAGAGCGTATGTGGTAACCACTCTGGAGGGCTGTCTCTGGCACAGAAAATATTGAGGTACGGGTACTACTGGCCCACACTAAAGAGGGACGCCGTTGAGTTTGTACGAAAGTGCGATAAATGCCAGCGCTTCTCTCTGGTGCAGCGACAACCATCTTAGGAGCTGACCACCGTCTCTAGCCCCTAACCTTTCTCAAAATGGGGTGTGGACCTCATAGGTCCCCTACCTAAGGATAGAGGAGGGGCAAGTTTTGCAATTGTGGCTATTGACTACTTCACGAAGTGGGTCGAAGCCGAACCACTGGCAAAAATCACTGAAGCCAACACCTCCAAGTTCTTATGGAAAAATATTATTAGCCGGTTCGGGATTTCCCACTCAATCGTCTCAGACAATGGCAGACAGTCTGACAACAAGAAGGTTAGAGAATTATGCGAAGAGCTCGGCATAAAGAAGCACTTCTCCACACCTCACCACCCACAAGAAAATGGCCAAGTAGAGGCCGTGAACAAGACGATTAAGCACGTCTTGAAAAGGAAGCTGGATGTATCAAAAGGGGCCTGGGTTGATGAGTTACCCCAAGTCCTTTGGGCGATCCGAACCACCACCAGGACCCCAACAGGAGAAACACCCTTCCTCATGGCATTCGGGACTGAGGTTATGAGCCCCGTGGAAGTCAAACTTCCATCCCCAAGACGTCTTCACTTCAGCGAGATAACTAACGACGAGCTCCAGAGGCTCGACCTCGACTTCATCGAAGAAAGAAGAGATGACTCCCAAGTGAAGCTCGGCACATATCAGAGAAAGATGACAAGGTATTTCAACTCGAAAGTCAAGAAGAGGTCATTCCGAATCAACGACCTTGTACTTAGGAGGGTCTTCGTTTCCTCAAAAGAACCTAGTTTCGGTTTCCTTGGCCTAAACTGGGAGGGTCCATACAAAATCAGAGAAGAAGTCCGACCTGGGACTTACTGGATTGAAGACATGAACGGCAAGGCACAACCCCAACCATGGAACATTGAACACCTCAGAATCTACTACCAATATATGTACTATCTTGTTGGACGACCTTTCCCAGCCTTTGTAACATTTCTATGGTTCAATAGAATTTAGTGATTAAATTAACGTGTTGAACCACCTCGTAACCTCGGAGGAAAGGCTCGCGTCTCACCTTTGAACCACCTCGCTGGGACTCCGAGGCTCTGGCACATGCCTCCCTTTGGCCAAAACAAACAAAACGCCAAGGGGAGAAGCATCGACATTGCTGCACCACCACCGTGGCTGGGATGCATCATCACCTCGGATGAGAGGCTCGCACCCCACATTTGGGCCACCCCGATCGAACTCCGAGGCTATAGCACGTGCCTCCCTATGGCTGGGCTAAATGCCAAGGAAGCCACCTCACATGTAATAAATCCGAGGCTCAAACAGTTGTTTAAGTAAAGTTCATTAGCTTATGTCCGAAGTTCATTTGCTTAAGTAAAGTTCATTTGCTTATGTCCGAGGTTCATTCACTTAAGTCCGAGGCTCAAACAGTTGTTTAGTTCATTTGCTTAAGTTCGAGGCTCAAACAGTTGTCAAAGGTTCATTTACTTATGTCCGAGGTTCATTCACTTAAGTCCGAGGCTCAAACAGTTATCAAAAGTTCATTTGTTTACAAAAGTTCATTTGTTTAAGTTCATTCGCTTATGTCCGAAGTTCATTTGCTTAAGTCTGAGGCGCGTACACTTGAAAGAAACAACAATGAATGAAACAGGCATTTTATTGATCTTCAATAAGGATTACAAAAGTAGGCCTCAGGCCTTTACACTCAAAAAACTGAAAAGAAAACTAATCTAAGCTTCGGTAGATGGAGGAGGTGCTTCAGTACTTGGGGCTTCGGCAGCTTGAGCATCGGTATTTGTCTCCCCTACCTCAGCTGCTTCATCACCCTGCACCTCCTCAACAGGGGTCTGAGGTATCTCATCCACGAATTCAGACCTGAGTTGAGTCAGATCCAAATTGGGATACATTTCCTCTGCCCGCTCCATCACCTCAGCATAGGCAAAGTTTCTCCAGTAAGCACTGAAGCTCTTATACTCCTCCGTGTTATGGAAGTTGGCGACATACTCCTGCACCGCCTCTTCCCTCGCGCGTTGAGCTTCCTCTCTGGCGTGGGATGCATCATCCACATACCACTTGATTTGGGTTTCCAAGAAGTGATAAGCATCCTGGGCACCCACCAAAGAGAGATTGGCCTTCTCCAGGGCCTCAGCAGTCACCTTCTGGTGCTCATTGGAGACCTCCACCTTCTTTGTTAGGGAGGCCACCTCGCACTGTGACTCATCAACTTCCTTCTTCAAAGCCTCAATCTGGGCCAAGGTAGACTCAAGCTTGGCCATTTCTTCAAGTTTTTGGGCCCTGACTTCCTCCGCCTCGGCCCTAGCCACCTTAACCTCCTCTGCAAGGGAGGCCGTCTTCTCCTCTGAAGATCTGGTCCTTGATTGAAAATCACTTAGGGCCTCCCTGCATTCAAGAGCGAGGCCAAAAGTTCTGATGCTTTGGCTCACCAACGCCCACGTCAGGTCGGATGCGTCACAGGATGCAGCTACCACCTGTCAGTCCAGAACCTGTAAAAGTTCTCAGTGGCGCTTCGAACCTCCTTTGGAAGAGCTTCCACCAAGGCTGGGGCCAAGGTCTCCTCCCTTCCAGCTAGGAAGCTTGGAGACTTCCTCTTTTCCCGAGCAGGTTTTTGTTTAGCTGCCTCCTCCCTAGCCTCCTCAGCCTCAACCTGCCTGACCATTTCTATCTTGATGGCTTTGGAGGCAGATACGAGCAGCTTTGGCTCGCCTGTGGATTTGGCCTCATGAGACACTGATGTCCCAAATTTCCCGGACGAGCTGGTAACGTGCACCAGCTTCCTCCTCTTCACCTCCTCTGGGACCTTCTCTTTGCCCCGAGGCTCTTTTGGCCTCTCTTGCCTTTGGGAAGCTCCCTCTTCAGGAGCCTTTGGAGTACTATCCTTGGAAAGGCGTTCCACCTTGCCTCGGACCTCCTTGGCCCCACTTGACCCCGGCTTCAAGGCCCTAGCCTTAGAGGTGGTGGTGGCCTTCAGAATCGTGGCCATATCTGGAGCTGGGTACTCCTTCCTTTTGAATTTATCTGCAAAACAACATCAGGTCAGCACGTCAGTATCTAATCAAAAGGACAAGGAAATTTACAACTGTGGGAGCCTCATGCCTCTGGATGCCATCAATCTAAAATCCAGGAAATAACGACTCCTGTCAACAGATGGTCAAAATGCCGGAGCTTCAGAGGCCTCTTGTAGATGTCCTCTATCACCTCGAACTCCTCCTTGCTGAGCTCGAACCTCGTACTACAATCTGCAATAGAAGCCCCAACAGTTAGAAATTTTCTAAGTGTTCAATTCAGAAGTACAAGCAGGGTTGGGAGACTCACGAGCTTTGTAGTACTGGATCGGCACTGTGCAAGAAAGGACCTTTTCCCCCTCCACTGCCTACCATTTGCCCGCACCCAGAACCAAGACTCCTTCCACCCCTTAATGGAGGAAAGCAGTCCCACCACAAAGGGTATGTGAGCCCCCCAAAGTGTAATATAATACCACCCTCTAGACTCCTTCCCTATGATTCGGGGCTAGAAGAGAGTCATGAATACATGGAGAGGCATGTCCTTCCCAAGTGATACCTCCTTCCACAGGAAGTATGAGCCGACCAACTGGCTCCACCCATTTGGCAGAACCTGGGTCGACAACAACATAAAATTCCTCAACACCGCCCTAAAGAAGAGGTGCAGAGGAAGACGCATACCTGCCTTAAACAGGTATTCACTGACAGTCACGCATCCGGACCTCGAATAGCAAGCTCGCTCATTTGGTTCGAGAACTAGCATCTCTATGGAATGGGGAACACTGTATCTCTCCCTGATCTCCCCTAACCTCTTCCACGTAATACCTGAGGGCACCCTAGACACCCCCCACTCTTCAGTATAGTCTACTAGGTCTTCGGTCATGGCATAACTATCAGCCTCGGCATCCTCCCTTTGACTGACCCCATAATCTAACGACACCACCGTCACCAACTCCCTTCCCGAGGTGGACTCCATCTCACAGAATTAACAACAAAAATAAGGTTTTCCTGTGAATGATACCTAAGGTAAGAACAATACGAACGGAGTTGGGCCGAAAAATCAAAAAACGGGCTGCCTTGACGCCGGAAATTTCATAAATTTGTGAGAGAATCAAATTGCAAAGTTTCAAAAGTCCTAAAAAATGGGATTTTCTCACCTTTTATAGAGGTTCAGGATGAACCCTAGCCGTTAGATCGAATCTTAGTCAATCTGAGCCCTTCATTATAGATCAAATCCGAGGCGTTGAATTCAAACGATTTTTCAAACCTACGCCTCAGATTCAAACGTGCTCTCCACGCTCCTCATCGAACGCGTCTGCTTCTAGAAGCTCCAGCTGCCATCGTAATTGTATTTTTAATTTGACGGCAGTAGGTGCCTTGGAAGTCATAACGGTTCAGCCACCTTTCCTCGAAAATAAGCACAAAACATCAAATCATTGGCACAACTATCAAGGCACAATCATTACCATTGAACCTCGGCTTTTCCTTCAACATTCATCCATCAAGCCTCGCAGGTTCGATTTCCCAACCACCTCGACTTCTTCAACATTCATCCGTCAAGCCTCGCAAGTTCGGTTCCCAAGCACCTCAGCTTCTCCTTCAACATCAACACAGCCTCGGTCTCTTCATCGTTCACCCACGACAACACATTTCTAATTCCAACTCTGATATAGATATCTACACTTGGACTTCAGGGACTATTATTTGGGGTTCAAAAATTCTTTCAATTTTTACTTCATTAAAATCCATGCATTACATGAATGACCATACTTGGACTTGGGGGACTATTGTTGTGTGTGGTCATACTTGGCCAATTCACCTGGGCCATTATGGCCCACTCAAGGCGATCTACGTGGCATTCCAGCCAAGGTGGCATAGATGGCCGAGGTGGGATGCTCCGAGGCCTTCAAGCCAAAGTCCACTAGCCGAGGCTCCTTTTTACCGAGGCTTGTAAACGTACCTGAGATCCACATCCCGAAGCCCATGTACCGAAGCCCATGTACCGAAGCCATGATACTGAAGCCAGTTGAAGATAGC